AACTTAAGATATTAAGAGAATAAAAAGAGAAAAATCATATGATCTCAGTAGATACAGAAAAAGCATTTAACAGCATTCAACATCCATCTCTGATAAAAACTCTCAGCACACTAGACTAGAATAAAATTTCTTTACTTTGATAAGGGAATTTCAAAACGACAACAAAAACAATAACCCCCCCCCCAAAAAAAAAAAAAAATTAACTGCTCCCTCCCGCAGTTTATGTTGAAAGACTGGACGCTTTCCCCTAAGATTGCTAGCTAGGCAAGGTTGTCTGCTCTCTCACTTCTACTTAACATTGTACTGGAGGTCCTAGCCAGTACACTAAGGCAAGAAAAAAGAGTAAAGATTGAAAATGAAGTAAAATTAATTTTACTTGTAGTTAACCTGATTGTCCATGAAGAGAATCCTAAGAAATATACCAAACAAGAAAAAAAGTACTAGAATAAAAAAATTCAGTAAGGTCATAGGATACAAGTTCTATATATAAAATCAATTATATTTCTATATATTGGCAATAAACTGTTATAAATACAATTTAAAAATAATGTCATTTGCAGTAGTATCAAAAAAGCAACCTCTGTGTGGATGAATTTGACAAAATATGTGCAAAACCTGTACACTGAAATCTACAAGTTGTTATTGAGAGAAACTTAGGAGGATTTAAATAAGTGGAGAGAAATGGCATATTCATGAATTGGAATACTCAATATTGTTGAGATATCAGTTCTCTTTAAATTCATATTTAGATTGAAAGCAATCCCAATCAAAATGACAGTACACTTTTCTGTAGAAATTGATAAGCTGATTCTAAAATTTGTGAAAATACAAAGCACTTACAGTAGTGAAAATAATTTATAAAAAAGAACAAAGTTGAAGGATTTACACTATACCTAATTTTAAGATTTACTGTAAAGCTACAGTAAAGAGGACAGTATGGTTTTAACATAAGGAAAGACATAGAGATCAATGGAGAAGAATAGAAATAGAACTGCACATACATAGTTAATTACCTCACACACAAAGGTGTGAGGTAATTCCATGGGTAAAAGGAAAGTCTTTTCAAAAAATGATGCCAGATTAACGGGATATTTATATGGAAAAATAACGAACCTTGACTCTTCCTTCAACACTATTTCCAAAAGTTAACTTGAAATGGATCACAGATCTAAACATAAAAGCTAAAAGTAAGACTTCCAGTAGGAAACATTTGAGAAAATTTTTGTTACCTTGAGGTAAGCAAGACTTTTTTAGAGTTTAAAAAGTATCAACTATAAAATAAATAAATTTGGTAAATTGGACTTAATGAAAACGAAAAATTTCTGCTCTTTGAAAGACATTAAGACAATGAAAAAGCAAGCCATGGTCTTGGAGAAAATGCTTGGAATACATACATAAAGATGTATCCAGAATATATAAAGAATTACCCACCAAAGAAGATATATGAATGGACAGTATGCACATTAGTAATAAGGGAAATTAAAATTCAAACCACGATTCAGTGTCACTACATACCCATTAAAATGTCTAAAATTTGAAACAGCAACAATACGAAATATTGACAAGGATGGTAGAACAACTAGTACACTTATACATTGCTGTTGGGGGCATAAAATGGATCACTCTGGAAAGCAGTTTGTCAGTTTCTTATAAAGTGAAACATAAACTTACCATACAGTTCAGCAATTCCACTCCTAAATATTTTCATGATGCTCACAAATGAGATGAGATGTAGTTTTATTTTTCTTAGTAAGTTAGGTTTTTTCATCAATGGTATGAATTAATGAAATTTATAAATTGAATTTTTATGATTTTTCCCTCCTATGTTGTATAAAAGTTCATGTGGAATAGGAGTTATCAGTCGTAAAATTAAAGTAGAATTCGTTCTTTGAAACTTCCAGAGTACGGTGTTTTTACAATGGGTAGCTCTTTGAACACTTCTCAATTTCCTGTTTTTTGGTCTCTTTGTTTAGATTTTCTGTATTTTCTTTTGTAACTCAAAATAATACATATTTTTCTAGGAGGATCATCAATTCTACTCATTTTCAAATTTATTGTGAAAATTTGAATAAAATGGACTTTTATAATTTTCTTCATTTCCTCTGTATTTGTCTGTGGTTGCATGTTTACATCTTATTTTGTATTTTTCTATCCCCTTGTCTACTTTTTAAAAATTAGCTTAGTGGTAGATTCATTATATACTTCATAGAACCATCTAGTAAGTTTATTATTTTGATAATTTTTTTTCTAAATCATTAATAGAAAAAAATTAGCTTAGTGGTAGATTCATTATATACTTCATAGAACCATCTAGTAAGTTTATTATTTTGATAATTTTTTTTCTAAATCATTAATAGAAAAAAATTAGCTTAGTGGTAGATTCATTATATATACTTCATAGAACCATCTAGTAAGTTTATTATTTTGATAATTTTTTTTCTAATTCATTAAATTTCTGCCTTTAGCTTTTCTGATTCTTCATTTATTGCTAAAGTTTATTGTTCTTTGCCTTACTTCCTTAATAGAATATTGAATCCAATTATTTTCATTTGTTCTTTCTTATTAAATAGTGTAAATTTTTTAAGTTATGAGTTTTTCCTCTAAGAACTGCTTTAGTTGATTCCCATCTTCTCATAATATATTTTTGTTAATGTATTACATATTCTGCAATGTCATGTTTTTCTGCTTCTTTGAAAGGGTGGTTTTAGGCCTTTTCATTTTTTCCTCTTGAAATCTTGAGTTGTCTAGGTAAACAATCGTAGTGATAGCATAGCCAATAATTTCAATTTTGCCCTTCTCTTTCTTGAGCTCTTTAGCTTAGACATAAACCTCTCCTTGTGGAATTAACCAGGACTGGTACAGAATAGGTGGGTCAGGCCTTTTTTCATTCCAGAGTAGTCAGCACTTCAGAGAATAAGCACTTTCAGGACTAAAATAACTAGATAACTGAAGAACATAACTACCTATAAAAATTGAAATAGGAACAAAAACAGTACTCTTAAGAATTTAAGATGTTTGATAAATATTTCTAATGAATAACTAAAATAAAAAGAGATGCATATTTCAATCAGTTATGCAATACAGGGTTATATGGGTGATTAAATTGCTTGACGAAGTTTTGACCTTAATAAAAAACTAACGATTAAGAAAAGTGAAAGGGAGGGGGCTGGCCAGTTAGCTCAGTTGGGAGAGCATGGTGCTGATAACACCAAGGTCAAGGATTTGGATCCCTGTACCAGCCAGCTGCCAAAAAAAAAAGAAAAGTGAAAGGAAAGTTTGTCTGTAATAACCCAGAACTAACATTCTAGATCAATATCAACATGAAGGGATCTCAATAGGGAGAAGACCAAGAAATTTATTAGTGTGTTGGAGTGCTTGTTAGTGAGAAGATACGAAGGTACTTTGAAAAGTTTGTGGAAAAATAGAATTAAAAGGGAAGATGAATCTTCCCATGAATTTTTTGAAGTACCCTGTATACATATTGCTAATTTGAAGAAATTATTAGGAGCACATGAACAAGAAAATGGCATGTAAATGAAGGACAACCATCATAAGAACAAATTTGTGTAGCTTTAAACCATTGGAAGAAAATATCTTTTACCCAGTAGAAAGAGGAATGGAAGAAGAAAGAATAGTAAATGGAATATGCGAACTAAGTAATATTGAATGCTGACTCCTAAAATATCACCAAGAAAAACTGTTGATAAGACAAAGCTGTTAATGCTAACTGTGGTAAGGAGATCACTACCTTATCAGATCCTTAGTATTAGTAGCCTTTCAGCAGGGGAAGGCCAAAGTGGAGATATTTATTGAGATTTTAAATCTGGTTTAAGGTGGATTGGTAAGGGGAATATTTGGGGGCAAGGAGTTCAGAGTTTTGGGATATAAACCATTATTTGATACTTTCTGTTGAAGAGTTGATGGGTCTTTCAGGAAGTTCCTGGAATGAACAATAAATTTTTTTGTAGCTTTTGTCTTGGTAAGAGTCTCCACAGTAAATTTATGTTGTTCCACAGTAAATTCATGTTGTTAAAGACATTGTAAAAGTAAAGCCATGTTAATGTAGGCAGTAAGCTTTGGGGATTATTTCTGTTCTCAGAGGACAGAAATAATAATTCCGTTTGTGGGGTTGGGGAGAACCCCTCTGATCTTTCTACTGGGTAAAAATTGTTTTTTTCCATTTGTTTGCAATTACACAGATTTGTTCTTATGATGATTCTTTATTCTTTTATTGCACTGCTAGATTTATTTTGTTACTATTTTATTTTGGACTTTTGCAGTTACATTCATTAGTAAGACTGGCCTGTTTTCTTGTCTTGTGTTCTCAGTATCTAGTTTTGGTGTTAGTTAAGTTGTCGTTGAATTAATTCTTCTCTCCCTCCTTCTCTCTCAGGATCATTTCTTTTAAGATTAGGATTATCTCTTGAAGGTGAATAGGTCTTATTATCTTGATTTTTCTCTACTCACATTTTGTTTTATGGTTTCTTTTTTCAGTATGATCTACCTGTTTTTTGATTGTTAAGGATTATTATAGTTGTTTTCCAGTATGGTTATCTATCCTTGTTGTATACCTGTTATTATTTTTAAATATATTTTTTTGTCCTTTCTGTGAATTTGGACCAGAAAGGGCATGATTGTCTTATGATTTAGTTTGTTACTTGTCAACTTTCTTCTATTCTTCAATTAATCTTCTCTTTTTTTCTAGCTCAGTTAAGTAAATAGGTATTTTATATTCTGACCAGGCAGAAAATTAAGGAGAATTATTCTTTTAGTTTTTCTTTATCTTCCTATTAGTTATCAATGTGCCATCTTTAGTAAAATATATTAAACTATGTGTATTTCTACTCTAATGGAAGAGTGAACAGTGTTTGGTATTGTTTTTGGTCTTTATACTCATGTTCTTATGTTAATTTACTTTTTTATATATATAAAAAAATAAAATAGACCTTATATGAAGAGAATCTTTTTTAAGGACAGTTTTTTTTTCCTCCTAAATATAGGAAGTTCACAAATGGGTGCTACCATAGTAGATGCTTTGGATACCCTTTACATTATGGGACTTCATGCTGAATTCCAAGATGGACAAAGATGGATTGAAGACAACCTTGATTTCAGTGTAGTGAGTATAAAATTGATAATTAATCTCTTAGATTGACTGTGAAAAGAAATAGTGTCTGATTGAGATGGTCTGAATGTTTGTGTCCTCCCAAAATTCGTGTATTGAAATCTGATAACTAATGTTATGTATTAGAAGGTGGGGCCTTTAGGAAGTGATTAGGTCATGAAGGTGGAGCCCTCATGATTAGAATTAGTACCTTTATAAAATGGGCCCCAGACATCTGCCCTGACCCTTCTACCATGTGAAGGCCCAGTGAGAAGGTATCATCTGTGAATCAGAAAGTGGGCCCTCACCAGATGCTGAATCTGCTGGTGCCTTGATCTCAGACTTCTCAAACTCCAGAGCTGTGAAAAATAAATTTCTGCTGTTTATGGTGTTTTGTTACGCAGCCTGAACAGCTTAAGATAATAACCATAGTAGTTTTGAGCATTGTGCTAGCAGTTTAAAGAAATTGTTAATGGTAAATCCTCTTTCTTTTTTTGGGATTATCAGTTATTTAATATTTGCATAAAATACATGCTCTTTCTTATTTTCCATTACTTTTCTTGCCCTTATCATTTGAGGCAATGTATTAAATGTGTTAAGGCAATAGCGGAAAAAAAGGCGATGAACTAGAAATATCATGAAACCATAAATTACTTTATAAGTAATAAGTGTTTTTTAAATTTAAATATTTAATGATATGGCACAGGTTTGATGAACATTCATAATTAGGCCTACGGCCGTCTTTCCAGCACTTTGGCATGGTTGTTAAGTGATATAGCTTAGGTTTGAAGCTCAGTACAGGTGCCTTCTGGCTGTGTGACTTGGGAAAGTTCCTCATTCTTTCTAAACCTGTCATAAAATTGCTATTCCATTGTAATGTTGTGAGGATTATTTGAGCTAATTTGATACATATTTAATGCTCAGTAAATGGTAACAGTTATTTTCATTATTACCAGTCTTCACCTAAAAGATGTGTGGACTGTTTTGTTATATTTGTTATAATTTTTCATGCTGTTTGTGCATGCTGTTCCTTTTGACTGCAGTGTCCTTTACTCCTTCTCTATGTGCTTTTCCCTCTGGCAGACTCTTTATTATTTAAGTTGTGATTTACACGCATAATTATTTTTTCTCTGCCTTTTTTGGTGCTAACTAGACAAAAACTGTTTATTTTCTTTTATATTATGCTAGCATTTTGGACCTAATTAGAACAATTTTTATTATCGGTTAAGTTTAAATTTGTGAGTGGCAGAAAACCTAATATAAAATAGCTTAAACAAGATAGATGTTTATTTCTCTTTCATGTATATTAAGTACAGACATAAGCAGTTCAGGGCTGGTTTGGGTGGTGGCTCCATGATCATCAAGGACCTGAGATCCTTTGTCTTGTTGCTCTGTCAACTTCCTTGTATAGCTTTGATCTCATGGTCCAAATGGTTTCTCGTGATCCAGGCATCTTATCTACCTTCTAGTTGAGAGAGGAAGAGACAGAGGAAAGACACGTGATCGTTCTTTAAGAACACTTCTCAGGAGTTGGTCCCCCCTTTTTTGCTTGTAGACTTTACGCATGTGGCCCCATATAACTGTGAAGGTAAGCTGAGAAGTGTAGTCTTTTTTTCTGTGTAGCTATGTAACCCTTGTAGATTGTGCTTTTTTGTATCTGGTTTAAGAATCCCTACTCCAAGGTCATGGAAATATATTCTTGTATTTTATTCTAAATGTTTTAAAGGTTTGCTTTTGCATTTAGTCTTTAATTCATATGGAATTAATTTTTGTAGGGTGAAATAGGCAATAATCAATTGATCCTAGCACTGTTTACATTTCTATTTTTACGTGCCACTTTAGTCATATATTAGTAATTTTAGTTTATTCTTTTCTATAGGCTTTTTCCTTTATCTCTGCATCAATACTAAACTATCTTAACTACAGTATTTTTATAAGCAGCTTGATATCTGTATCTGAATTTTGATATATGATTTTGTTCTACAAGGAAATTATCTTAGTTCTCAGCCCTTTGTTCTTTCAAGTTCTGAAAAACTGTTGAAATTTCGATGAGGATTGCATTTAATTTACAGATTAATTTGGAGAGAATTGGCATCTGTGCAATCTCAAAACTCCCATTTATTAACATGGAAGCTTTATTATAGCTAATAATCCCCTTGCATATCATTGTGCCAGTCTGGGCTCATTGAGGAACTAGGACTATACCATTTATTTTAACTAAAAGATATAATGTTTAGAATTGTTAACCAAGTAATGGGGAATCAAAAAGGCAAAAAGGGCATTGTGGTATCACTAGAGCTAGTATCTACTGGAAACAGGTACCACCCATGTGGCTATGAGAATAATGGGAAGATGTTGGGATCCTTAAAATTTAGTAGCTTGGGCTCTGTAGAACTAGTACCCAGTGTTGCCCAGGTGTTGCTGGTTCCTGAAGAGCTCTTAGAAGGTCTCTCTCAAAGCTGAAATTCAGACCTGTGAGGAGGAGGTACCTAGCTAGTGACTGATTATCTCCAAGGGGCACAGTGAGGCTGATTTGGGGATTGTGTGTATGTGTGTGTGAGACAGGGAAACTGTACCCTGGAATCAACTGCCACTGCAGGGTGAAGAACCATGGCTGGAGCGACACTGTCAGAAACTAGAAGTAAACAGGAAGATAGAAGTCTCATCTCCTTTCTTCAGTCTTGCATTATCTTTTTGGAATATTGTATTGATAGGGTCTGAAAGGGAGCTAGCTGGTAAATGAGAGATGCATTTGCAGAGTTTCAACTCCAGTTTAACAAAGTAGAATATAGAAGAGTGGATTTGAACCTGAGAAAAAATAGTTTAATATCAACACAGTCATTTTACATCCTTTTACTTTAAACCTTTCTATGTCATTATGTTGTAGTTGTATATTTTGCGTACAGTGTATGTCTGGATTTTGTTAGTCTTATCATCTTAGAGTCTTTTTATTTTAACTGTTAAGTTTGAAATATTTACATTTCCTATGATAACATACATTTGGAGTTGGGTATTACTTCTTTGTTTTACTACCTGGATTATGTACTTTACATTTGCTTTTATTTTGTTTTCCTTCCGTATTTTGAATTAAATTACTTTACATCTCTTTTTTCCTCTACTAGTTTGACATTTAAACCTTCTATTTCCATTCATTTTGGCATTAATTAAGGTTTTAATATGTATACTTATCAAAGTTTAAAACTGATCGATTTCTTTATCTTCCTTCTGGAAAACATAATTATCTTAGAATGGTTTAACTTAGCATATCTCCCTCTTGTCTAATATGTAATTATTAACTAGTTGGTTCCAAGTTATATTTGAAACTTCCAAATTAAGGAATGAGTGAATGAATAAATATATTTGTTGAATGCCTTCTCTTCAACAGACACAGTTCTAGATTCTGTAGTTATAATAATGAGCAAAACGGAATCTTATCTCTTTCTTGATTTTATACTCTAGTGTTGGAAGAAAAACAGTAAACAAATATTCAAATAATATATAGTATGTCAGATGGTGATAAGTGCTGTGGAGAATAATAAGGAAGAATAAGTAGAATTGGAGTAGGTAGAGGTAGGGTATTGCTGTTTTAAAAGGTGACATTTCTGAGAAGAGGCCTAAGGAAGCCATGTTAATATAAGGTTCTCTCAATAGCTATTATAGCTGAGAATAGAATTAGAGGTTGATGGTTATTTTCTCTCAGCCATTTAAAGGTACAATTCCATTGTCTTTCCTGCTTGTTATGCTGTTGAAAAGCGTGCTATCATTCTAATTTCTAAAAGGTAATCTATCCTTTTTACCTTGTTTTAATATTTTCTTTTTCACTTTGTTGTTCTGTAATTTCATTACCATGTGTCTATATATGGATTATTCTTTAAAGGACTTATAATATTTCATCAGTCTGAGGATATATGTTTTCATCAGTTTCAGAAAATTCTAAATCATTATTCCTTTTAATAATGCGTCTTTCCCATATCTTCCTTCTAGAACTTTTTATATCTTCTGTCTCTCTAGTGAGGGAAGATATGAGTTTTACGAATAGAAATGTTTTATTGCTACAGGTTGAGCATCCCTAATCTGAAAATTTGAAATCTGAAATGCTCCAAAATCCAAAACTATTTGAGCGCTGATATGACATTCAAAGGAGCATTTCCGATTTTGGGTTTTTAGATTAGGGACGCTCAATCTGTATATGTTAATATAGTAAATCAGATGATGATAAGTGTTAGTTGGGGAAATAATGCAAAGTGAGGGGTATTAGTGATGGGGGATTACTAAACTGGGTAGTTAGAAACAATCTCTGATAAGGTGACATTTGTTAAGAGACTTGCTGGAAATGATAGAGTGATTCATTTAGCTGTATGAAGGGAAAGCATCTAGACAAGGGTGTAACACAAGTGTAGAGACTGATACAGGAGTCTCGAGTTTGGAAGTTCTGGGAACAGCAAGTAGGCCCATAGTGAAGGAGTATAAGGGATAATATAAGAGACATGTCAAAGAGATTGTGGGGGAATCTAAGTATGTTGGGTCTTATTGGTTATTTTACTCTGAGTATAAGGGAATCCATTGTAAGGGTTTGCAGAGAGTATTGACCTAAGCTGACAAAGATTTAAAAGGCTCACCCTAACTATTGGGTAGTAAGTAGAGTGTAGGGAGAAAAGTAAGGATGAAAGCAGGGAAATTGATTAGAAGGTTATCGTTACAGTTCTGGTCAGTGAGGGTGGCTCTTCTTGCCCCCTTTCCTTTTCCCTATATTTAGTGAATGTCTACTGTGTGCCCTGCAGTGTGCTATATGTTGGCAATATATGAAGTAATATTAAGCACTTAGCTTTCCAGCATGGGGTGAGATGACAATCATGTTGTGAAAAAAATTACATTATATTGTGAAAGTTCTACATTGGAGACATATTCTTGTGTTAGCAAGTGATATGCTCTGTTTGTGCATGTTGGAAAGACTTCAGAGTCATTAATTCATTTTTCTTTTAAATATTTATTAAAAATTTATTATGAATGTTATTGTTAATCAATTATATATATTCTTTGGATTCATTGGTCATGTTCTCTGCTACTTCTACTTTTCTTTCCATGTATTAGAATTTTACTAGCAATATCTATATCCACACCTAAATACAAACATACAGACTATGTAGTAAGGTTATTAATATTGTTATATTTGTATCAAACTTCCTTCTGTTTGTTTGCCTTTTAATTTTGTTCATGATTTTTTTTGATATAGGTACTTTGCATTTAATGGAGGTTTCAAGTCTATCATCAAGTTATTATCAAAACTATTGAGTTTATGTTTATAAAGTACCTGCTCCCTCAAGGAAGTTTATATATTGTCACATTTTCTTCTATATGTTGTTACTTTTTTCATTTATTTCTAAACCATTTGGATTTTATTTTGATATGTATGTGAAATGAGGATCTGCATTAATTTCTTAACTAGGAGCCAGTTTTCTCAACATTATTAATTGAATAATTCATCATTCCACCATGTTTTTGATGCTTCCTTTAACATTTATTAAGTTATTATAAGTACTAGGAAGATATTTAAAATTCATGAGAGAGAGAAGTAAAAATTATGCTGTAGTGATTAGAACAGAAGGAAAGGGACCACCAGTAGAGAGAGTGCTATTCCAGAATTCAAGATCCAGAATTCAAGAAGGGGAGGCTCTCATGAGGAAAGGACAATAGTCAAGAGTGTTAAATATCTTGATAATTTCACAGTACTTTGTAAGGTACATGGTTTTGGCATTTAAGAAGCTGTGGTGATAGTTTTAGAGGAGTTTCAGTATTATTAGCAAATGGGAGGTGAGATTGCAGGTGCATGAAAAATGAAGATGCACAAAGTGGAAAAACATTCTCCTCAGGGTGTTTGTAAGAAACAAATAAGGAATTGAAAATATTTTGAAAATTATAAACCATTATGTATGCATATATGAATATTTTCAATATGTTTCCACAGAATTCAGAGGTATCTGTATTTGAAGTCAACATTCGATTTATTGGAGGCCTACTTGCAGCATATTACCTTTCAGGAGAGGAGGTGAGCAAAATCAAGTAATACATTGTCTTGGGGGAAGGCGTTGTGAATGGAATTTAATAAAATGAAAGATTTTCCTAGCAGCATATCATTTTTCTAAATTGAGTAATATTGAACTAATCTGAAGGTTTGCTGAAAAGAACTGGATGCTTTAAGTAGAACTGTTCCTTGGGAATACTCATTGGATTTTCCATTTTGAGAATATCAATAAAATATAAATTCATCACAGATCCTAACATTATATACACCACATCTCCTTTGCAAGACTTTTCAAGGATTTGCCATTGCAGTTAATGGCATGGTCCAAACAAAGGGGGAACAGAACCTAACAAGACCAAAATTAAGGAGTTAATCAGGAGGAATTAATGTGAATTATTCTAAGACCAAAAATTAATTATTATGGGGAACCGAGGCATGGAGAAGGGGACCGGACATACCCCACAACCAGGCACACTGTCAGTGCCAAGTAGTTTGCCAAAAACATCACCTCCATGTGGGTGGCCCACCACAGCCGTCACAATAACCATGGCTGCTGGGAAGCGGCTAGACACCACAACTACCATGCAGATGGTCTGCCAACCACTGCAGTGCATTGACACTAGGAGAGTCACCAGCAGAGATACAGAAAAGAAGAGGATGTCTTTCTCCACAAAGCCCATTTCAGAGTGACAGAAGAAGCATCTGCTCTACGATAATATTGGGGGACCTGATCATACCTCTCAGCATTGGACAGATCACCTAGGCAACAGATTAACAGAGTAACCATTATTATTTCAGAAGGAGAGAAGAAATCTAGGGTAATTAGAGGGGGGAGGGAGGAAGGAAAGGAGGAAGGGGAGAGGTTGGACAAGGAGCATAAAGAATAATTATGATTTGTAACAATATATATGCTAGTAATACTGATTTGATCAAAATATCTCAATGTTCCACCCCAAAAATATGTATAATCGTTCTTATTCAATAAATAAAATAAATAAAAAATAAAAATTAATTATTAAAACTTCCTGTTTGGAAATTGAATGCAATTTATTGCTGTAAATAATAATAAAAAAGAAGCACAACAGCTCTGAGTTTTTCTTTCTGAAAGTTTTGGTACAAAACACATGGATACACTTAAAACTTAGGGTAAGGGGAAGTGGGTGTGGGAAATTCCTTTTTACTACTCAAATGAGTTAAAGGATAGGGCTGGAGGGTGGGAGAAAGAGAAATTAAGATGTTAGAAGTCATTTCTATACTTTTTTTGAGAAATTTCTTCACCCATATTTTTAAATTGTTTTGTTGGTCTGAATGATTTGTAAGAGCTCTTTGTAAATTTAAGAAAATTCATCTTTTGTAGTATGTGTTATAAAGATGTATTTTTATGACGTCCTTTGTGGGTTTTTTCTTTCTTTTTTTTTTTTTTTGCAGTTAACTTTAAAGTAATCATTTTTAGGATTTTATTTTCACTGTTATGACTTGTAGATTCCTTAGAAAGCTATGTCTGTATTACTAAAAAATAAAAATTCCAATTTTACTTCTAGGTTTTTTATAAATTTACATGCTTATATTTAAGTGTTTCATCTATTTTTGTGTGCTTGTGTGTGTAAAGAGTGAGCTATCCATGTACTACTATTTTTTTTTTAGAGGAAATAATGTTTGAAGATGCTGGTATTTAATATATAATATCAGATAAATCTACCTTATTTATTATGTGATTTTACTGTCAGGTTTTGTTATGTAACTTGGTTATACCTCCAACCTATATTTCGGTAGCCAGAAAACTTCAGTTCACATTTAATAAAATAGAAAAAGTCATTTATACTCTGGCCAAGAGGTTTTCAAACTTCATTGTGCATCAGAATCACATGTGGGGTTTTTTAAAAATGAAGATTCCAAGCCCTACCCACAAGACTGATCCAGATGGTTTAGTGTGGCGACCATTGTATCCTTTTTTTTTTTTTTTTTTTGGTCAAGTACTCTTTTTTAAAGGTGGTTTTGGAAATAGTGGTTCTATATTTTGAGAAATTCTCCTAGGTTATATGAACAAAATCATTGTAAATTAATTGATAGGATTTTTTTTTTAGTTAGATTTATCGAGGTATTATTTACATGAAGTAAAATTTACCCATTGTAGTATATAGTTCTATGAGTTTTGACAGTACATATAGTTTTGTAACCACTAGCCTAATCAAGATATAGAAGAATTTTATCATCTTAGAAAATTCCGGGCTGGCCCTGTGGTGCACTCAGGAGAGTGCGGCGCTTGGGAGCGCAGGGGCGGTTGGGAGCGCAGCAGCGCTCCCGCCGCAGGTTCAGATCCTATATAGGGATGCGCGGATCCTATATAGGGATGGCCGGTGCGCTCACTGGCTGAGCGCAGTGCGGACGACACCAAGCCTAGGGTTGCGATCCCCTTACCAGTCACAAAAAACAAAGACAAAAAAAAAAAAAAGAAAATTCCCTTTTATCCTCCTCTACTTCCTATTGCCAACCTGTGTTAACTACCAATTTGTTTTCTGTCCCTACAGGTAGGAATACTGGCTTCTTTTACTTATAATGCATTTGAGATTTATCCATGTATTAGTAGTTTATTCCTTTTTATTGCTATGTGGTATATTCCTTTGTGTGGATATTACACATTTTACCCGGTGGGGTTTTTCCCCAGTTTTGGAGATTGTGAGTAAACCTGCTATAAGCATTTGCCTATAGATTTCTGCAGGAAAAGAAATTTTCATTTCTTTTGGGTAATTACATAGGAGTGGGATTGCTGGGTCAAAGAGTAAGTGTATATTTAACTTTGGAAGAAACTGCCAGACTCTTTTCCAGCAGTTGCCTCACATGTGGCCAGTGCATGGTATTGTGGGTTTCTTTATTATTTTTAGCCATTGTAATAATGTGTGCAGTAGTATCTCATTGAGGTTTTGTATTGCATTTCCCTAATGACAAATGTTGTTGAACACCTTTTCATGTGCTTATTTTGTTATTCATATGTCTTCTTTGGTGAGTTGTCTGTTCAAATCTTTTGACCATTTAAAACTTTTTGTTTGCCCTTTCATTATTGAATTTTGATAGTTCTTTGTATATTCTGGGCATAGGGCTTTTACAACCTATGTGTTTGCAAATGTTTTTTCTTTGCCTGTGGCTTGTCTTATCAGTGACTTAACTATCTTTTGAAAAACTGAAGTTGTTACATCTTGAAGAAGTATAGGATATTAGTTTTATCTTTTATGGTTCATGCTTTTGAGATTATGTTTAAGAACTGTTTCCCAAATTCAAGGTCACAAAGATTTTCTCATGTTTTCTTCTGAAACTATTGTAGTTTTATTTTACTTTTACTTTTAAGTCTGTAATCTATTTTTTTTTTTTCCTTTTTGTCTTTTTTCATGACCGGCAATGGATTGCAACCCTCAGTGTTGTACCCGTACCGGACCGGGACCGGCAACGGGATCGCAACCCTCGGTGTTGCGCCCACACCTCGCTCAGCCAGTGAGCGGCCGGTCTTTATGTGGGATCCGAACCCTCGGTGGGAGCGCCGCCGCACTCCCAAGCGGCGCACTGTAGCAGTGAGCCACCGGGCCGGCCCGGATACAATTGAGTTTTAAAAAAACTTTAAGACTTAAAGATGACTCAGGACATTTTGTTTCTCTCTAGATAACTTCCTGATGCTGTCATTTAAAAAAAATTGTAAAATATACATAACATAAAATTTATCATTTTAACCATTTTTAAGTGTACAATACAGTTCAGTGGCATTAAAAACAACATTCATGTTGTCCAATATGAAATTGATTTTTATATTGACCTACTGTGAGATTTTTCTAACATCACTAACTAATTCTAGTAGCTTTTAAATAGATTTTAACAGATTCTTTGGGATTTTTTTTTTGTAAACAATTATGTCATTAATAAATAAACGAGTTAATTTTTTTGTATAGAGAACAGTTTTATTTGTGTAATTCTTTTATTTATTTACTTATTTATTAGTCTTACTGCATTGTCTAGGATTTCTACTACAAAGTTGAATAGGAGGGATGAGAGTGGGCATCCTTCCCTCTTTCCTTATCTTTAGGGGAAAAGCATTTAGTCTTTTGTCATTAAGCATAATGTTAGCTATAGATTTTTTTGTAGATGCCCTTTGTCATCTTAAGGAAGTTCCCTTTTATTCCTAGTTTGCTGAGAGCTTTTTATCATGAATAGATGTGGAATGTTGTCAGATGTTTTTGTGGCATGTAATAAGATGAGTATCTGGTATTTCTTTAGTCTGTTTATATGATGAATTATATTGCTTGATTTTTGAAAGCCAAATCAGCCTTGTATTTTTGGGAAGAAATCTTACTTGGTCATGGGTTTCTTTTTTTTTTTTTTTTAATTGAGGCATAATTGATTGTGTATATTTAGGGGGTGCAGTGTTGACTATCATTGTGTGCTATATAGGATGATCAAATTAATATTATTAGCATATTCATTATTACAAATCATAATTATTCTTCGTGCCCCTTACCCAACTTCTCCCTAACCCCCTTTTCCCTCCTCCTTTCTCATCTCTAATAACCATAGATTTGTTCTCTCTTGAAAGTTCAGCGTATTATTGTGGTCCTTCCTTCCTTTTTTCTTTTCTTCCTTCCACCCACTTATGAGTGAGGACATGTGGTATTTCTCTTTCTGTGTTGGGCTTATTTCATTTAACATAATTTTCTCCAGGCTCATCCATGTTGCTGCAAAAGGCAGAATTTCATTCTTTTTTATAGCTGAGTAGTATTCCATTGTTTATATATACCATATTTTCCTTATCCAGTTGTCTGTCAGTGGACATTTAGGTTGGTTCAGTATCTTGGCCATTGTAAATAGAGGTGTGATGAACACAGGAGTGCAGGTATCACTTCAACATGATGATTCACATTCCTGTGGGTATATACCCGGAAATGGGATTGCTGGATCATATGGTAGTTCTGTCTGTAGTTGTTTGAGAAACCTCCATAATGTTTTTCATAATGGCTGTACTATTTTATGGTCCCACCAACAGTGTAGAAGAGTTCCCTTTTCTCCACATCCTCTCCAGCATTTGTTATTCTGTCTTTTTAATAATGGCCAGTCTAACTTGGTGAGATAATATCTCAATGTGGTTTTGATTTGCAGTTCCCTGATGCTAACTGATGTTGAGCATTTTTTCATGTACTTGTTGGCCATTTGTATGTCTTCCTTTGAGAAATTTCTGTTCAGCTCCTTTGCCCGTTATTATTAATGGGATTATTATTATTATTATTATTTTTTACTGCGAAGTTGTTTGAGTTTCTTGTATATTCTGGATGTTAATCCTTTGTCATATGTCTAGTTTACAAATATTTTATCCAGTTCTGAAGGTTGTCTTTTCACTCTGTTGATTGTTTTTTTTTGCTGTACAGAACATTTTTAGTTTGATATAAACCCATTTGTTTCTTTCTTTTGTTG